CCTCTGATTAGCTGTGACTGTAGCATGTGTTAGCATCACGTATGGCCCCTGATTAGCTGTGACTGTAGCATGTGTTAGCATCACGTATAGCCTCTTACGCTCGGATGATGTTGCCCAGTGTGTGGTCCTCTTTGTTCAGGGTGAACAGACACGCGTTGGGAACCTTCGTGTCTTTACTGATGCTGATCTTCTTCTCTCCTTCAAACAGCAGAAACGACTCGAAGGCGGGAGGCGCGTTCATCTTGTCTCAGGCAGAAACGAGCAGACTGTAAATAAAGAAACGAGCAGACTGTAAATAAAGAAACGAGCACAGACTTCAAAATAACATCACGACTTCCGGCGCCTTCGTCTTCTTCTGTTGTCAGAGTCCAGACGAGGAGCGCCCCCATGCGGGCAGGAGCCAATCATTGCTTGTTTCCACTCTGTGATGTCACGTTACGGAAGTTCTTCCTGTCCAATAACAGCGCGGTTCCCACCGTTCTCCCTCTTCTCATTGGTCAGTAGGAGGTGGTTTGTTTTTAAAAGTCTGGCGCTGATTGGCTGCGCCTGTGACGGAGTGTCAGTTTAAACTGGGGGGCGGCAGAGTGCTCGGTTTGAATCCGACAGACGCAGCTCGGACTCGGACTCCCGGACACGGTGAGTACCGCCGGTTCCAGTGGGTTTAAACGCCGGGTTCAAGCACCGGGATCACCCGGGATCTGTGCCGGTGTATCCGCCAGGAAGTGGCACGTGAGTCCGCTGAGTGGCGTCAGTCGTGAACAGGCTAATAGCGGGGCTAACGTTAGCCTGCCGCTAGCTCACCGTCTTTAGCTTAAAGCTAAAGCTGAAATCAGATGCTAACAAGCGACTTAACCGGATCCGTTAGCACTGTCCGTTACGAGACACCGGGCTTTCCGTCGAGAGACACCGGGCTGTCCGTGGAGAGACACCGGGCTGTCCGTGGAGAGACACCGGGCTGTCCGTGGAGAGACACCGGGCTGTCCGTGGAGAGACACCGGGCTGTCCGTGGAGAGGCACCGGGCTCAGATGGACAGTTCTGGGGATATTGTTCACTGCTATATCACTAACGTTTAGCTGCTGACTACCGGGGACCGGAGCCGTGAGCGCGGTGCTTCCGACTCTGTCCCGGTTTCTGACCCGGTCTTTGTCTCTGTCCAGCAGGACCCGGATCACTCAGTCATGGCCTCACAGAACATGGACCCCGCAGCGGGTGCAGCTTCCTCCACAGCCGCTCTGAAGGGCAGCGAGAGCGGCGGCAGCGCGGCCAGAAGCTCGGTGTCCAAACGGTGAGACCGAACTGACACCGGGTCAAGGCAGAACTTCTCTAAGCATTACGGTACCAGAGGTTTCAAAACAAAAGCGAGCTTCCGGTGATGCGACATTTGATTAGTCTGTGAATGCACGAGGGAACTAATTGATTAAATGAGTTGAAGTAATGAAGAATAAATGAATGATAAAAACATTATGACTGAGCGTTAAACTGTTAAATTAATGACTTCTCAAAACAACTGTGAATAAAGTTTGTAATGAAGAAAAACTTATTTAAAAAAAACCCAGAGAAACGACCAGTTCTATAATATATAATAATAAGTTCACACCTCAGCTTCACTGGTTTTCTGTGTTTTCATTGATCAGTTGATTAAATAGACTCGTTAGTTCATTTCTTCAGTCTGTACAAATGTGTGGTCCTACAGGAAGGTCGCTTTTATTTTGAAGTCACTCTAACGTACTGCTTAACTCTCCCCTTGGTTCTGTTCTGACTCAGGTCTGGACCAGGTCCTGGGTCAGAACAGAACCTGGTCATTTAGGTCACTTCAGTAAGGTCTGATCTTTAACGTGTGTGTGTGTGTGTGTGTGTGTGTGTAGGCTGCAGCAGGAGCTCATGACTCTAATGGTGAGTTCTTCTTTCATTTATTACATCACAGACATTAACCTCTCTGACATCACGTGACTTGTCTTTGTGATGATGTCATCATTGTCAAGCGATCCGTCTCTCTGACATCATGTTCTGTCTGACAGATGTCAGGTGATAAGGGGGTCTCAGCGTTTCCAGAATCAGATAATCTTTTT